TTTGTCGGAGACATAACCAGCAAATATCTTCTCCCATTCTGAGGGCTGTCTACCCGCTTCATTTACTGTGTTCTTGGCTGTGCAGAAACTTTTTAGTTTGATCAGGTCCCAAAAGTGTATTTTCTTGCTGCTCTTATCATTTCTTTGCCTTCTGTACTCTCCTGGCTGACACACCCCATGTACCCATTGCTTTCAGGACTGGTGAGGTACAGATCTGGTTGAAACTTGTGCTCAGTCCTCTCAGTCTCTCAGAGCTCTTCTTTCTGTCCCAACTTCTGCTCCTGTACTTGAATGCAAGCAAGATCTAATCTATAGTTTTCTTTTCCTATTTCAAGATTGTGATTTTTCTTCTCTCCATTTCTAGATTTAGATATCTCCTGCTCCCTGGTTCTGGTGTGATGAGGCTTTTCGCAAGACCTTTTTTTCTGTCTTGAGTGACTTCTGCTTCTGGTATTTGTCATTCTTTGTCTGTGTCTGTCTGAACCATTTCCAGGTGAATTTCATCTCTCTCTTCCCTTATCAGAAAGAAGAATGTTCTTCATTGTTTTATTTCTCAGATGTGTGTTTCCTGGAGGATTTGCTTTTAGTTCCCGTTTTCTTGCCTCACCATGAAGAAGCTTATTCTTTTCCCTCCTGAGCCTACAGTGTCTTTAGGTTGGTCTCTGTCCATTAGTGTGCTCTTTGCTTTGTTCTAGCCCCTGTGTCTTTGCCCTTCATTCTCTGACTTCTTTTGTCGTTCACCAAAAAGAAAGATTGTGATCTTTAATAACAGTGTTTTAAGTCTTTGGGAAAAACAGATATTTCCTCACTGCTCTATTTTCTTTCCTCTCTCTGGGATGTCTTTTCTAGGGATAGTCCATCTTGTCTGTATCACTAGCGTATCTGAGAACTCAATCTTAATCTCATTAGCCATCGTTAATGAAAACAGCCCCTGTCACAAGTGCTGGTACCAAGTATGGTCTGCTTCTCCCCGTGTGCTCTGGGTGCCATAGTGCAGAGTCCAGACTTTGGGGTGATGCCTCAAAGAGAAATAAGACAAAAACATGTAAGGTCAAAAAATGTAGAGATCAAAAACCTGAGCGGAAATGGAAAGAATCTAAAAACTACCTGAAGAGTGAGGCCCAGTCAATAAAAAAAACGAAAGAAACAGAACCACCCCAGTTGGCATATTGGAAGTTGAATAACTTGCAGAAGGGGCAGAGGTGGAAAATGGGAGAGAAAATAAGAAAGAGCTCCACTGCTTGAATATAAGCAGCTTCAGAAAGATTGATTGGGAATGTAGAAAGGAAGAAATTCTCAAAATAATTGGAAAAAATTTCCCAGAACCGAAGGAGTCAGGCCTTAGGATTATAAGGGCTCACAAGGTACACAGACCCATATTGAACTATGTTATCCTTACAGTGAAATATTCTCAATGTAAAGATTAATGATTAGCAGTTATTAAATTATTGTATGCTTCTTAGCATATGTTTTGTAAGTATTTCTGTAAGATGTGTGTCTAGGAGTAGAATTGCTAGGCCATAGACTATTAATACATAATGTCAGATAGTTCTCTAAACTGCTTGGTGTCTAGCAGAATACTGGTAAGCACTGCTACCAGTCCCAGGAATCCAAATACTTATGCCCATGATATCGCAATAGGTTAGCGTCAACATGGGAAACACATGGCAGTCAAACACTGGATGGAACAAAGACTTATGTAGAGAAGAGACTGAAGAAGATCCATTGCATTACGAGGATTGATTCCTCAGGGTGTGTGGGTCTATCTCCCTCACAATTGTGAGAGCAGCGCAGTTTGCCTACACACCCCCATCATGGGAGGGGTCACTTGCAGGCCTCAAGAAAGATGACATGTGGGGTCATTCTCTGAGGGAGATATCAGAAAGTTAGCTGGGCATGGTGGCACATGTCTGTAGTCTCAGCTACTGGGGAGGCTGAGGCAGGAGAATCACTGAGCCCAGGAGTTTA